CTGAAACTCCAATATTATGTAATTATACATGTATACTGTGAAGTGTAATGCAAATGTTTTATATCATGTGCCTAATTTTTTGGTCTCAATTTTTAACATTTGGAGTATTCTTAATACCTGGTTTGCTTAAAATGGGGCAAAACTATGGTCGAACTGATGGTAAGCTGGGACCCTCTCCTTCTGGGAGATGGAGAAGGGTAGGATGACATGACTGTGGTAACCAAGCACCCAGCAACTGGGCAATCACGTGGAGAGGTAATTGTCAAGACCTGCAAGAGTCTGAATTTTTTTTTTTAAGAGAAATTTTTGGTACAGGGCATGTGTGCTTGCCAGAGAGACAGAAAGCAAGAAATCACCCCCTACACTGCAATCCCTTCTCCTCCATTCTCCTCTCCAGATCCTGGGCACACGTGCACATGTGTATAGCATGAATTGTTTTTTTTTTTTTTTGAGAGTTTTTTTGCTATAGGGCACGTGCGTTTGCCAGACAGAGAGAGAGAGACAGAGACACAGAAAGCAGGAAATCACCCCCCAGGGGGGATGGTCACGCCGCAATCCCTTCTCCTCCCTTCTCCTCTCGGGATCTGGGGCACGCACGCACACGCACCCGGCGTGAGTTTAAGCCACCGGGTCCGGGGCTCGAACCGCGGTTGACTACGTGGGAGTCCAGCGACATAGCCATTACGCTAACTGCTGGTCCCCCAGCATGAATTTTAAGTCGCAGGGTCCAGGACTCAAACTGTGGTTGACTACACGGGAGTCCAGAGACACAACTACTATGCCATCCACGGGTCCTGAGGTTTTCACCTTATTTACTTGCTAACCAGTTAGTCTGCCATCATTTCATGGGTGCTGCTAGAATATATAAGATTCCTGGGTCAGATTAAAAGGACTTTATTACTAAAGTCACAATAAGCAGCATGAACTTCTTGTTTACAAGCGTTCCCTTGCCAGTCATCACACAGCAGTAAAGTGGAGATGCCCACTGATGCTATGCACACTGTGGGCTTGCATCAGAGCTGAGCAACCCAAGCTTTGGAAGAGTCAAATCTCATAATGGGATACAAGCAAACCCACGTAAGCTTTTCTCCAGAGGGAGACTTTTTTTTTTCTTTTTTTAGTTTTAGAGAGGTTTTTGCTATCAGGCACGTGTGCTCACCAGAAAGACAGAGAGAGAAAGAGAGAGAGACAGAAAGCAAGAAATCACCCCCAAGGGGAGGATGGCCACACCACAATCCCTTCTCCTCCATTCTCCTCTTGGGATCCTGGGCACACACGCACATGCGCCTGGCATGACTTTAAGTCACCGGGTCCGGGACTCAAACTGTGTTCGACTACTTGAGAGTCCAGTGACATAGCCATTACGCCAACTGCCGGTCCCAAGGGAGACTATTTTTATCACACTGAACAAAAGCAAATCTCTGCTCTAAAGAGAGACACTGTCCTTGTTTTCCAAGACTTTTCACTACAAAACATCCTTGAAAATATAATTTGGAACAAAAGGCTGTTGACTAGCTATACAGAGACCCTCCTACCTAGCATTATCTCCCACCAGTGACTGAGCCTCTGAAAAAGACCTGGGGTCATAAAATGGCATCAGCCCACTTTATTATTCCTTTGCACCAAGGATAAAATAGTGAGGTAGAAAATAAAAGACCCAACTCCACTCTCCTCACTTCAAGAAAATGTAAGTGGAGCACACAGTCTGGTACATAGTAGGTATTCAATAATTCTGATTCCCTTCCCCAGGCTCCTTACACATACTCTCACACAATCTTGGTGTTCATTTACTCTTTCTTTTCTCTCATTTTCTCTACTTTCAGAGGAAAATATAGAAAATATTGATGCTGCCACTATGAATCACAAAGGAATTTTGCCCTAGATGACCATCCCTATAACTTCTCCAAAGGTCTAAAGAGCTTTCTTGGATGTTTTGTCCAGGAATTAGTCTTTGTGTTTCTGTGCATGTGATACACTAGGTGGTGCTAATTGCCTAATATAAACAGGGATACTCCCGGGAGGTAAAAGGCTAACTAAACAACACTTTGAATAGATGTTTTTATACATGTAAACCCAAAGAGTAAATCTCAATTATTAATAACTTTACTTCTTGAAAATATAAGCAGAAAAAGCTGCTTTTGGCTAAGAATAATCATAGATCTGTTCCTTCCCAATGGTTTATAATTAGCTACTTAACCAAGACAGAATTCAGCTCATATTCTGCAAAAAATTTTATATACGTTTTTATCTTCATGAAAAGCTATAGCTTGAGTAAACTCTTCTAAACTAGAAAGTCACCAATCCGGGAGGAGTGACAATATGGAGAAGTGCTTTGTACAAGACACTTTCCAGACCCAGGCATGCTCAGGCAAGAACATAGACTACAGCCAGCTGCAGGGGGGAGCAAAATCATCTGCTGGACTAAGTTAACCAACATCTAAATCACTAAACTAAAAGATTTCTTTACCAACTTGTCTTACATGGTCAGAAACTTGGAGAGAAAAGAAAGTCTGATCTGAGTTATCTGTTCAGACTAGAAGCACACCAATCAGCATGCAATTCAGTGCCAATATGAAACATAAAAGATGATTTATATGAATCATACTCCCTCTGAGTTGTATTGCAGGAGAAAAATAGCCATAATTTGTAAATGTTAAAAGCATCCTTCACCCTTAAATAGCTCTGATTTATAAAACTAAACACACATACCAGTTTTACTGTCTTTGTCGTTTATGAGTACTGGTGCATCAGGCAAGCTCCTTGCATTCCACACTAATGTGCCACTACAAAATAAGGTCAAACTAATAACTGTTCCAATTCTTAGTCACACCTTTGCCTGGTGGAATTTCCACACACGGTCTTTAGTTCTCCTTTATATAATTTACAAAACTGTCAATGTGAATGGCTACACCTGGAAGTTTGGTGCCTGCAGGAATTTTGTTTTTTTGATAAACTGGATTATATTTAAGTAGATATTTCCACTTCATCTCATAGCTGCCTAATTGTCATCAGTGAAGGGGGAAATTGAAAAGGTAAACAGGAAATACACAGGTAGATATAAATTATTGATATGTTAGTTCTTGAATAAGTAGTGAATTCACTGTCCATTATATTATTAAAAACATAAACAAACAATAATAAAAGAAGACCATTTATTATAAGAGCAGCATTTTATGAACTAAGGATTATGATTAGTCCAGTTGTGTTCACTTAAATAAATAGAGGGCCAACTGGTGGTGTGGTGTTTAAGGCAGCTAGATCCCAAATGGTCAACTACACGGTTGAAGTCCCAGACCCAGCAGCTTGAGAAACACACCAGGCACATGCGCATGCATGCACAAAATCCCAAAAGGAGAATGGGGAAGAGATTGTGGTGTGCCTATCCCCTTGGGAGAGTAGT